AAAATGCCTGATCCAATTTCTTCGCCGGATGAATCGAACCAAAAAATTTGACTTTGTCACAAATCAAAATCTGACAGCTTTCACTCTGGGAGTTTCATCAACTGCTTTGTCTATTCGTAACTGTATACATGATGCAATTCCCTGATAGAGCGAGTCAGCTTTATTCATTAATGCGTGGCGGTCAACTTACTGAAGGTTGGTGATTGACAAGAATCTTATCCTTGATATGTTTTGTCCTTGTTGAGTCCCAGACTTCTTGAATGGACTGTACAATTCCTACCCCACAAATATCCATTCCATGTGGTCTGGGTTCCGATCCAATTTTGTCACACGCTTTGACAAGGAGAGGGTTGAACTCCCAAATTCTACCAAATGTTTCGTTGTTGCTTATTGAGCCCTTAATGGAATAATTTGTCATTAACGTCAAAGTGTAGCCAAGGTCTTCCAAAGATGGTGCGAGTAATGTGGCAATTATTTTATCGTTTGATATAAAAAGACGCTCAAGACCACGATCAATGTGTAGTTCCGATGGAAGTAGGATTTTGTATATGTTGCAAAGGCCCAGTTCTAGATCAAAAGCTTCAAACTGCAATGTGCACCATGGTGTCAGTGTCGGCAAATTCCATTAAAAAAACACCTTACCTTTTGTTCCAACCTGCAAGTTCCACCAAACGTTAGCTGACTTATCCCTTCGAGGGTAGGTGCTAATTTATAAGGCCTCTTTTCTCCAGACATTAATGGAGTCGAGTTAATATAATTCGTCATCACTGCCACCTTTGATGTGTTAGGGAAAGTAAAGTCTTGAGTTGGTATATTTGTTCTGTGTTTTGAAATTGCGGTTGTGGGGTCGGATGGCAAGAATGAGAATGACTGATAAGCGTATTTTAAGTCTGAACAATGCTAGTGATAACCCTGTTTGGCCGAGTCAGTTCCTCATGTTTGATCAACTGACTTGGTCAACCTGGAGCATAATGTGAAATAAAGAACTGGTTCAGTTGGAGTCAAACACACGTGGTCAAAGTAAATAACTTAATGGACTGGAGAGATAGGCATTGCCTTTGCGACTGTTGGCATTTTAAATTGGATCAATGTTAGTGATAACCCTGTTAGGCCAAGTTAGTTCCTAATGATTGATTAACTGATTGGTGAACTTCGCACATAATGTCAAATAAAGAACTGGTTTGGTTGGAGTCAACCAAATGTGGTCAACCTAAATACCTTAATGAACGGCAGATAGGCATTGCCTTTCCAACTGTTTCTTGCAGGATGTATCCATTCTGATGATGAGGTTTATTCCTTTAAATATAAAATTCATCCAAGGTTCGTGACAAGTCTCGCTTCAAAAGAAAACAGGATGAAAGCCAACCTTGCCTCGTGCAAGATTATTGCTTGAGGATTATTCTGACATGATGAATGGTTGAGATGAGGTACCTCTACATGCAGCAAGGCATCATAATAATTGGAAATTCTAAAAACCCAAATTCTGGTTCAGGAGTGATACTGACACAATAACCAAGACAAATGGTGAAGAGAATTCAACATAAAGTTCAAACTAATCATGCGAAACATATTTTGAAAGGAAAGCGTAAGGAAGAAATTATATCTGATGATAGTTACCGACCACCTATCCTCACAAAAGAATTTTAATGCAATGATGGGATCCGATGCAGTTGATGTTCAGGTTAGTTCTAGTGGGTTCCATCAACGTAAGTTTGGAGGTTTCCTATGTAGAGTTTCTCCTTTGGTATATTCTTGTATGCAGGCCGATTGAAAATTGCACCGCTTTTGGTGTCCTGGGAAGTTGTGGCAGTCTTTTTATTGATTTGAATTGACATTCCTAGCCGCTCGTAAGGTGAATCGACATCTGAAAATAAGGTACAATGTCGAGCCTCACGTGCCCTCCAAACGAGTTTGACGATTCCGTTAGCTTTTGCAAAGTCGATGCCACATCTGTAATCTGGGAAGACAAATGCTCCAGCCGATGAGTTTGACTGAGTGGGACCGGTTGCGGGTGACAAGTCATGCTTATTGACAGGGAGGAATATCCCAAAAGCAAACTCCGACAAATCTTGAGTGTCGCAATGGGGCGGGTTAAAGAATCCTCCAGCGGTAAAAGTGAGGTTTGGGGCACAATCGTCATCCCCAATTGGCATGTCGAAATCCGGATGACCAATAGATGGAATTGAGTATTCGTTCATCAGCTGTTGATTTTCGGAAAAAGCGACATTAGCGAGCCGTCGGAACATTCTACCAAGGATGCTTGAAACTTGAGGCGAGTTCTGCATAAGATGTTGGTAATCTTCCGGATGTCTGGTAATAGCGGCTTTGTTGCGGTAGAGCCCTAAAAGTTGGAATGCAACCATTGCCTTTTGCCAACCGATTGCGAACATTTTGCCTCCCCAGGAACGAGCCTCAGAGCCAACGGCATTGACAAAGCGTTTGGCAGAGTGTAAAAAGTTTGTGACTTTGCAGTTCGACTTGAGAAGCACCATCAAATGGACTGAATTCGATAACGGCAATTATTTTTGCTTTATCGATTTTGTCGTGTATAACAACCTTTCCGTGGTCAAAGTATTTGAAAGTTGCGGCTATGGTGTTGCATGATTTGATTTCTTCTTTTGTTGGTGGTCGATCCGGGTCATCCCCAACGATACGAGGATAAAGTTCGAGTGGGACATATCGTTTTGAGGACCATATAATTTTATCTTCAGGGTTACCATTCGACTCGGGTGAGACAACAGTGGTGTGTGAGGACAGCGCTGAAACCGGTAAGTTGTCCTGTCGTTTTTGATGATCGTTAATTTTCCTATCTGTACCGTCAATGGTGAGGACAAATTTGCTTGTCCGTTGATCCGCATGTTTCTTCGACCGGTTCTTTCTTTTCCTTTCCATCAAGTAAGCGTGCCGACACATCCCCATAACTTCAAGGCGCGAAAAGTATTCTACTATCACACTCAATCAGAAAATGAGTCCCTATGCAGGTGATGTAGCTTGGACGTAGGCTTGTGTGAGTTGATCTTGGCTTTGAGAAACGGGATCAAGTGGTCGGCCAATATAATCAATAAGCTTGATAAATATATGTCAAATCACTTTAGTCTTAAAAATGAGTTACCTGAAGATGAATGGATGAAATAAGTTCAATGACCACATACATTGAAGGCAGATTGAGTAATGGACTCCAAAACTTATTTGTCCCGTTCTGGTCCCTTCACTTAATTGCAGAAAGGCGATGCTATTTCCCTTTTTTTTGGATCAATTGTAATTGGAATGTGAAAAGGTGACAATAGGTAAGAAATAAAGTCATCGTATCTCACGCTGGAACGTAATGCGTTGACTGAAACGTACCGGTAGAATGACGACCGTCGGTTCAATCGTTCGTGAACGTTAGGCAAATCTTAGTGTAGTCGGAGACCGATGATCGTTCGTGGATATGTTCGGGTCCGAAGGATTGCCTTATGGATTGTCTATCACTTGGCCTTCAAGAATCAAGATAAAAACTAAGTCAATATATTGCTAGGCAGCTGATAATATGAATTGTTCTCGACTTTAACATCTTGTCGTGAATGTATATGTCAGTAATTGAAAGACTACTCCCTTAAGTCGATCAGCGTGACCTTGCGGGATGACCAAGCTAGGCGAATGAGTACTCACCGAATTGAGTGTAGCTCGGCACCTCGCGATTCGTTTTCTGAAAGATGTTCATGGGTCAATAAGAATTTCGCTCAATTGGTGTGAAAAAAGGGTTGAGAAGAACTTTTAGTTGACTCACTGCTGGATTGATGAACAGAGTCCTTGTTGAGATAGTTTGATGGAGTTGACTTTGGGCGGAGGTCTGAGTTTTGAGTTAGTGAGCCGAGCGTAGTCGTATGATTTGGGGGGTTGAAAAATCTGAGGTTGACAGATTTTCAACTTTGACTATGCATATACAGGCCTTTGCGAAGTGCGGCCTTTTTGGCGAGTAAACTTTGCCTTCAACCAATGAGACCGAGCCAAACCTCTCGACAACATCAACCACTCGATTATGAACAAATCATCTACTTCACCTTTGGCCAACCAAGAACGAGGTGAGTACGGGACGTCTGGGCCGATACAAATGTGCAAAAATCAAGTTTATGTTGAACAATCAATTTTGTTTCTCCATTGACATCTCAGGTTGATTGGCCGCATCAGGAGGCTAGACCGGACCTGAAACGCCAGTATCGTCAAGATGAAGCCGCTAATTATTGATCGCTTAACTCCTCTTGAAGACCAGCCCTCGCCTCTCCGCAAACTTCAAACGCATCGCTCTGTCCCCCTCGTTGTCTCGGTTCGGGGACTTGTAGATTAACATGACCATGCAAAAAACTCGCCCAATACCCCACCAAAGCCTTCACAATAAATGACCCGGGACGACATGAACGGCTAACCTAGCATAATACTTCTTGAAGTCAAACTTGTGGCTTGCAAGAAACAACTCAACTAAATCTTTTGGACAGGCGATCCGGACAACAATCAGCCGCATTGAACCGGGCTTGTTAATCGAGATCGCCGCCGCAGACTAATATTGAGCCTTCTCGCTGGAAGTTCTGATTGACCTTGCGTACTACCGGTTCAACCCGATATTCACACATCGGATTGCTTAACGTTCGAAAACCCAAAGCACAATTAAGATTAACAATTCCACTTTTTTATGTGATTTCTCAGCTAGACTATAGACTGATCGATTCACTTACTTCTCTTGCCGCCGAAATCGACCGTAATAATATCTTAGCATGACCGTTATATTGAAAGTGGATGTTATCAACGATCATTAAGCGAAGTGTCAGAAGACGGAGGGGCATTTGCAAGGGCGACTGGTCTGTTATCTGGTTCGGAAAGCTTCCGTGTTAGTCTGTTGAATTCAAGTTGCAGAAGGCACAATTAAAAATCGAGTACAACGGGATGTATTAGTCAAATGAACTGATGCAGGTCAGGAGGGATTGCGCATTGAGCGGCTTTTTTTCGTACTATCATCCTCTCGGTGAGTCAGGCAGCAGCTCAGCCCTTGCTAAACCATCCTCCAAGATACTTCACCCTTCCCCTACACCCTACTCGCTCCACAAGCCTTAGTCGATCTCCAGAAGCTCACTTGTAAAGCTAATGACATGTTGATCAATTAGTCTCTTCTGCTGGGTAAAACAAGATTAACTTCTTCACTGTTTCAGCCTCAGCTATATTTACGCTTTGTTCCGGTCTACAGACCAAGACGACTCCTCTCTCTCTGTCTCAGTGCTACTGGTCTTTATTATCGTAGCGATTTCCATGAAGAATCTGCCATGAGATCAATGAATCATTCAAGACAGACCGCAATTGAGGCATTCGTCATACTTAAATAAAGTTTACAACAGGCTTGCGTGAATAGTTGAAGTGATGATGAGAAAAATTGGGATGAGAAAAGAACTTGGATCTTCAAATCAACATGGTTGTGAACCTTAACCATCATAATGTCATAGGGTTCATTCAGCGAGGATTGTTGGCTGCGATGGAGCAGAGCAGTCGGTTGATGGTTGGGATTTTTACAATGGAGTTCTAGGGTAGGTACATTGGTGGAGACAAAAAACAAAAATTTGGAAGAGGCTTAAGGGTCGCGGGTAGATGAAAGTGGTATTTTCAGTTCAGGTTTCACACAACGCTGGGCCGCTACGCTACGCTACGCTAAAGGGCCACTTAGCGTTAGCGTAGCGGCGCTAAAACGGGCCCTTTTTTCTGTAGTGTTAGCGTGCCGCTACCGCCGCTACGCTACGCTACGCTGAAGCCCCGCTAACAGGCGGCTTGCTTCTGGGTAGTGTTAGCGCATCGCTACAGCCGCTACGCTGCGTTACGCTGCGCTACAGCGCTTTTAGCGGCAAAAAAGGCAAAAAACCCGCTAAAAAGCGCTGTAGCGCGGCGTAGCGGGCACTTTTTTGTGCCCTGAGCGTGTAGCGTTAGCGCAATTCCAAATTTCTGCGCTAACGCTACGCTAACAGCTAACGCACTTCTGTGCCCTTTGCGCGTAGCGTTAGCGCAGAAAGGCGGATTTTTCGCTAACGCTACGCTACAAAGTAGCGCATTTCCGCTGCGCTACGCCACGCTAACGCTACGGTTAGCGTAGCTGGCCCAGCGTTGTTTCACATGACGAGTGGAGCTATAAGTGTTGAGGACGACTGGTGAGGAAGAATGTTCGGCTTTCAGTGCTTTTTCATACGTTTGGCAGCTTCTTGGATGATACTCTTGCGAGGTCGGCCACGTTTAGCTTGGGGGCTTGGGGTAGCTGCGACCTCAGCGGCACTTTCAGACCCCGAATCATCCTCTGTTGCGTCTGTTTGATCACTGTCAGAATTATCGCAAGCCTTTGCCTTGCCTTTATCAACGGTGCGAAGTTGAGCGGGTTTGATGGCTTTGTTGGTATCATGTTCTCCGATCGGGGCCTTTGTGTTAGGCAATGTTGATTTCAATCGGTCAACGGCAGGGGAAGTGCGTGGCGAATCCTTTTTCTTGCTTGAGAAGCTTGTACTGGGAAATTATAAGAGTACCTCAGCATGACCTGTTTGCAACAAGTATCAATGTGCTATTTTTGAATACGTACAATTTCCTACCAGCAATCGGACTGGATGTAGAGGGGCCTTGATTAACTGTGATGGTTCGGCCAAGTTGGTGGCCAGAGGTGATTGACACAGATGAGACCTGGATTGAATGTGGAGGAGGTGAGTTTGTGCCCTCGTCAATTTCGGGAGATGACTTACAAGGACTACTGCCATGTGGTCTTTGACATCGAAATCAACTAAGCGGCCAATGATGTTGACTTTGCGACCAGCTTGATATAATGTATGAGTTTTGACGAGGTTTTTTGTACCAGGGACAATGTACTTGACATTGAATCGCCTGTGGACACGCTCCTGTGGGAAAGGGTGATGAGTACTGTGAGATGGGTGGGATTAGATTGGAAAAGTGCTTACTTCTCCATCCCAGTCACAATGTGCGACAATGACCTCTAACTCGCTGCCTGAGTCGGAAGCGCCATTTGCAACCTCACGACAAGAAGTTACCATTCCGAGGCTGGTAACACCCGTCTTATTGGTAAAGTCAGGTTGCTCGGGGCCGGCAGTCGCAATACGAGTGACTGTATCTTGAAAGTAAGAAAACATTGGGGTGGAACCATCATTCAGAGCAATCATTTTGCCACTCATCGCATATATGGACTCAGGATTAAGAGTGTTAGTTAATGCTGTGTTCGTCACGAGCTCTATTTCAAAGTCCTCGTTTTTTTCGACATTGCTCCCGGCGCATTGAATAAAGCTAGGGGTCTTGACGTATCCGTACTGATTGGCTCGCACTGAATCGGCAATCGACTGGACAATGTACAATGAGAAAAGATTTGGAACTGCATCGGAGGGAGACTCACTTCAGAAATTGGTTGGAAATGACCATTGAATGTGGCAGGGTGGTTTGGGGCACGCACGGCTGTCATAATGGGTGTAACTGATGGACAAATTTTACTGGTTAGTTTAGGAGTGTGTGTAAAGTAGTATCTCGCAACCATGGTTGCATAAACATACAGTCGTGC